CGCTGTGCAGACCACGAGCTCCGATTCACGGGTTCATGTTTTGCCCTCCCGGAGAGAGGGCAGGCGGAGGGATCTGATAAGTGCTAATGTGTGTGCTCCGGGCGCTAGCGTGTTAGCATCTCTGAGCTACAAGGCTAACACGGGGTTTCCCAATCCAGGGGCTCGCCCCCCCCTCCATGAGGCAAGAGCCAAGGGGGGGCGCAGCAGCCGTGTCACGCGTGATGAGCAGAGCTACATTGCTAACACGGGGTTTCCTAATCCAGGGGCTCTTCCCCCCCTCCATGAGGCAAGAGCCAAGGGGGGGCGCAGCAGCCGTGTCACGCGTGATGAGCAGAGCTACAATGCTAACACGGGGTTTCCCGATGCAGGGGCTCGCCCCCCCCTCCATGAGGCAAGAGCCAGGGGGGGGCGCAGCAGCAGCCGGGTCACGTGTGGTGAGCAGTCCCGTACTTATGACGTCGGACCTGCAGAACACGTGACCGCCCTCGGCGCTCACGGTGTGACGCAGGGGCCCCCCCGGCCCTTTCAGCCACCCCCCCTCCCTGCTAGGAACACCAGGAGGGGGCGGGGCCATGACGTCTCGTGTTCCAGCTCCCGTTCCGCCCCTCACAGATTTCTACGACATCTGGAAGGAGCAGGGCTTACTGTCAGATGTTTGGCTGGAGAAAACTCTGCGCAGAGGTTACGCTCTGCAATTTTTCCGAAAGCCACCACCATTCCGAGGCGTACGGGCAGTACGCTCTCAGGTACGGGGATCGACAGAGGCACTGGAAGCAGAGGTCTCCTCCCTGCTGAGTCGAGGCGCAGCAGTGGAGGTAGACCCGCAGGACGCCACCAGGGGGCTGTACTCCCCTTACTTTCTGGTGCCAAAGAAATCAGGCGGGGTGCGTCCCATTCTGGATCTGCGCGTGTTAAACGAGTGCATTTCCAAACGGCAGTTTCGGATGCTGTCCACAAGGCAGCTCCTCGAGTGTGTCAGGGAAGGAGACTGGATGACATCCATAGACCTGACAGACGCATACTTCCACGTACCCATAGTGCCAGAACACAGGAGATTTCTGCGCTTCGCAGTGGGAGAGAGGAATTACGAGTACTGCCGTCTCCCTTTCGGGTACGCTCTCGCGCCTCGCACTTTTTCCAAATGTGTGGAAGCGGCTCTGGAGCCGATCAGACGTGCCGGGGTAAGAATATTGACCTATATAGACGATTGGTTAATACTGGCCCCATCCAGGGAAGTGGCCGTGAGCCACACGCAATGGGTCTTGTCCCACATACAGCGTCTGGGCTTTGTGGTGAACAGGGAGAAGAGCAAGCTGCAGCCAGCCCAACGCATGATTTACCTCGGTCTGCAGCTAGACTCTGTGATATTCCGTGCTGCATTGTCCGTGGACAGACGGACGAATATTACCCGTCTGGCCCGGGAGGTTCTGGCGGGCCCCAGAGTTCCCGCTCGGCGCCTCAGGTCCCTGCTGGGGATGATGGCAGCGGCTCATGCTGTGGTGCGGCTAGGCCTGCTCCACATGAGAAATTTTCAGAGGTGGTTCTCGCGCCTCAGGCTTCACCCCTCCCGGGACGGGGGGAGGCTGATCTGGGTTCCCCAAGGGGCAGCATCGGACATCAGGTTCTGGCTCACTCCGGGTCTACTGCGGGACGGAGTGACTCTGGCCTGCGCTGTGTCTCACGCCGAGGTGTTCACGGACGCGTCGCTCGAAGGATGGGGCGGGGTCCTCGGCCAGAGCTCTGTAGGAGGCTGCTGGTCGGACTCAGCCCGTCACATCAACCTGCTGGAGATGGAGGCAGTGCACAGAGTACTGCTGCACTTTGCCCCTCAGCTGCAGGGGAGACACGTGATGGTGCGCTCAGACAACACCACAGTGGTCTCCTATCTGAACAGGCAGGGGGGCACCAGGTCCCCCGCTCTCCATCGCATGGCGACGGTGACGCTGCTGTGGGCGGCGCTTCACCTCCTGTCTCTCAGGGCGCGCCACGTCCCGGGGGTCCGGAACGTGGGAGCCGACAGGATGTCCAGGGGGGGCCCACTCCAGGACGAGTGGGGCCTGGCCCCACGGGTAGCCGCGGAGATCTGGCGGAGGTTCGGTCGTCCAGTAGTCGACCTTTTCGCCAGTGCAGAGAACGCACAGTGCCCGTCCTGGTTCGCCTTAAGGGCCGCGGACGAGCCGCCTTTAGGCGTGGACGCTCTGGCTCATTACCCATGGCCAGGCGGCCTGTTGTACGCTTTTCCACCGGTGCGTCTCCTGCCGGTCCTACTGCGGAGGATCGAACAGGAGAGGAGGTCGGTGATTCTGGTGGCTCCGGACAGCCCGCATGCCCGGTGGTTCCCCTTCCTGAGGGGCATGGCGGTGATGGAGCCCTGGGCCCTCCCGGACGAGCCGGGGGCTCTAGTCCAGGGGGCAGGAGCCCTGTTTTCACGTCCGATAATCGGCCGCAGGCTCTGGGTTTGGAGGTTGAGAGGCGGAGCCTCGTAGATCTGGGTCTTCCCCCTGCGGTGGTGGAGACAATTCAGGGAGCGAGGGCGCCGTCCACCGTGAGGGCCTACGCCACGAGGTGGAGGCTATTCAGTGCCTGGTGCGATTCCCGTTCCTGGGATCCCAGGTTTTGCCCGCTGGAGGGGGTCCTGGGATTCCTACAGGAGCTTTTCGACAAGGGGAGGGCTGTCGCTACCTTGGCGGTGTTTGCGGCAGCCATTACTTCAGGTCACGACGGGTTCGGGGGGTTCACAGCCCGCTCTCACCCGTTGATTAAACGTTTTCTGCGGGGGGCGCGCAGGAGGAGGCCCCCGCTCCAGAGAACGCCTCCGGTTTGGGACCTCAGGGTGGTCCTTAGGGGGCTGTCGGGTTCGCCTTTTGAACCGGCGGCGGAGGCGAGTCCCGATTGTATCGCTTTTAAGACGGCCCTCTTGCTGGCGTTGGCGTCTGCAAAAAGGGCGGGCGATTTGTGTGCGCTCTCAGTCCATGCGTCGTGCCTGTCCTTTGGAGAGGGACGACGGCATGGTGGAGTTGTGGCCCAATCCGGCTTTTCTCCCCAAGGTCATCACGTCGGCCTTTAGGTCGAGAGTGATCAGGATTAGGGCTTTCCACCCGCCGCCGCATGCCTCCCCCGAGGAGGAGCGGCAGCACCTTCTGTGTCCTATCAGAATGCTGAGGCATTACCTGGCCATGACGTCGTCATTCAGGTCGGGTGATCAGCTGTTTGTGTGTCTGGGCCCCAAGAACAGGGGCGCCCCGCTGTCGGCTCAGCGGCTGGCGCATTGGGTCGCCACGGCGGTGCGACGGGCGTATCAGGCGCAGGGCCTGGCCCCCCCGGTGGGTTTCAGGTCGCATTCCACGCGTGGGATGGCGGCCTCTACGGCCCTTCTCAGGGGGGCGTCGGTCGAGGACGTTTGCCGTGCGGCTTCTTGGGCGTCGTCCTCCTCTTTCGTCCGGTCTTATCTTTCGGATGTGTCGGACCGGTCGGTGGCCCATTCCGTGCTGAGTGCAGCGGATTGAGTTGGACCGTTGGGTCCCTCCCCTGAGGAGTGGGCCTTCGGTCTATTTTTCCGCCCTGGTGCAGGAGCTCTTGGGAGAGGCATCCTACAGGTGCGGTACATATATGTGTGTTTGATCGGTCTGGTAGTCTACATCAGGAGCTCTTGGGAGAGGCGTCCTGTGACTACGGTTGACCTACGATTGGTGTTACGTGGGGGCGTCCTTGGTAGGAGTGGCCCGGTAACACGCTTTGTTTCTTCTGCCCTGAGTCCTCTCACGGTGTGAGGGTCTTGCTCGGGCGGAGCTCCAATCACCCTTCGCTGGCCTGCTGGGAGTACATGTTCCTACGGCCTCCGCGTTGTGTCCCACTAGCGAAGTCCTAAGGGACGTAGCACCATGACGTAGAATTAATAGTTACCTAATGTAACTTAAGTTCTACGAATAGGTGCGTAGTCCCTTAGCTACGAGCCCATCAGGCCAGCCCGGCTTGGCAGAGTTCAAGAGGGGGTGCGGCCTTGTGCAGGGGCATTTATAGAGGAAGGTGGCTGGTGATTGGAGCAAATTATTTTGATCTCTCTGGCGTCTGTGACCTGGGGGTCACGTGATATCCCACTAGCGAAGTCCTAAGGGACTACGCACCTATTCGTAGAACTTAAGTTACATTAGGTAACTATTAATTTCTGTATTAATATAAAATAGATTGTGCATAGGGCTGCACGATATATCGATATTATCGTTATATCGAGATTTGTGTGCCGCACTATAGATAATAAAGCAATATCGATAATAACGATATACGTGTGTCAATTTCCGCGGCCGCAAACAGATGAAAAACGTAGAAGAAGACAGTCGCGTTCGTCCCTCCCGGAAATTAGCCCTCCCCTTCCCGCGCGCTCAGCACAGCAGCACAACATAAACAACAATGGCATCTGCCTCTGACTCGATAGAAGTTGTGGAAGAGGAGCTGGTTTCCAAAAAAAGGAACAATGGATCACTCATATGGCGGTGGTTTGGATTCCAGGTTGCAGATGTGGAGCAGAAACATGTATTCTGCAGACAATGCCGAAAATCCATTCCGGCAAAAGGTTCGAGCACGACGAATCGTTTTCATCACTTACAACAGCGACATAAAGTTGAATATGAAGAGTGCCTTCGACTGCGCGCTGCAAGTCCGAAGATAAACTCAGACCATTCTTCTAACCCGAAAGCAAAACAAGTCACGCTGGAGAACACACTCGCTCGCACTGCCACTTTTGATAAAACAAGTAAGAAGTGGCGTGACATCACGAATGCAATAGCTTTCCACATCGCTAAGGATATGGCTCCGATTACAGTGGAACAGACTGGCTTTATACAGATGTTTAAAATTGTGGAACCCAGATACCAGGTACCTGGACGAAATTATTTTGCCAACGAAGTGTTACCAAATATGTATTACAAAACATGGACAAATGGTCCAGCCGGACCTGTGAAACATACATGTGTGTAACAATACATTTTGTGGAGGACTGGAATATGAAATCAGCATGTCTCCAGACAAGCTACTTTCCTCAGGACCATACCAGGGAGCATATAGCAGAGGCTCTGCAGGACGTCCTCTCTAGCTGGAAGCTCAACCCGGAAAAACTGGTGGCCGTAACTATTGACAACGGTGCAAATGTTGTTAAAGCGGTGCAACTCAACAAGTGGCTAAGGATGCAGTGCTTTGGTCACAGACTTCATCTGGCCATTCGTAAGTGCAATACTGAATTATTCATTCATGTAGGGTGATCCCAAAACTGGCAAATTCATGCAACAACGCCTGTGTTCTGACTTTTTTTTTTTCCTTTTTTTGAATCAGGTTCAAATTAATCTAAATTCAGTCTAATACATTTTAAGTATGGTGGTGAAAATAAATCCAGGTTAAAATGGTGACACTTGAACTTGTTTTACTAATTTACAGTAGTTTAGTTTAACACACCGTTTGTAGTTTTCAGTGTCATGCACACATAAACATTACACTTCTATTTAATGTAGCTTTCAATTTGTATTTGAGGGAGCTCTGTGTCTCAAACAAATTAAAGTGATTTTAAAATGTGTTATTCAATTTGCCATACAGGAAATGCCATGAATGATGCCCATATCACCCGTGCTATTGGTCTGTGCAAGAGGATCGCGAACAGCTTTTCATACAGCTGGAAAAAAAAAGAGAACTGGCTGAAGTAAAACTGCAACTTGGTCTGCCAGGTCACCAACTGATCACAGAGTCTGCCACACGCTGGGGATCGGGGTTGGTAATGATAGAGAGGGTCCTGGTGCAAGAAAGAGCACTGGCTAAAGTCCTGTCCGCTGACAAGAAAACTAGACCTCTAGTCTTTATCTGGCAGGACATAGAGGTCCTGGAGGCCATTCAGAAAGCTCTAAAACCTCTTCAGGACTTTACAGATGCTCTCTCAGGAGAGGACTACGTGACCCTGTCGTATGTCAGACCTGTACTTCACCTGTTCAACAATCGTCTCATGGCATCTGAAGAAGGGGATAGTGAGCTGTGTAAGTCCATCAAGACCAAAGTTGTGGATTACCTCAATAACAAATATGCAGACCCAACTACCAGTGACCTGTTGGATATAGCCTCTCTTCTAGATCCAAGATTCAGGGCCAAATACATCTCATGTGACAAAATGGATGCCCTGAAACGCAGAGTTATTTTGGAGACTCAGTCTTTGCTGCATGATCAGGATGAATGTATGCGCGAGCTGAATGACCCAACAGAACAAGAAGGAGCAGCTGTGGCAGTACCACCTGATCCAAAAAGAAAGAAATCACTCGCAAGCTTCTTCAAAGAGAAGGCACGGTGGCACTGGTGGCAAACTCACACCGAGAGAGACAATAGAACATGAACTGTCAACCTATCTGCAGTCAATCTGCATAGAGAGTGATGCTGACCCACTCAAATGGTGGAAGGACCATGAGGTTGCTTTTCCAGCACTGAGCCGCCTGGCCAACAAGTACCTTTGTGTGCCAGCCACCAGCTCCCCTTCAGAAAGGGTTTTTAGTTGCAGTGGTAACATTGTAACCTGTCACAGGGCATCCCTGAAGCCTGAAAGTGTAGACAGGCTCATTTTTCTGGCACAAAATCTGTAAGATGTACACTACTGGCCAATACCTCTTGTTTTTTCATTTTTTAAGTTTAATGGTTGCTAAATAATTGTTCCAAGAACGTGTTTACATTGTGTTAGATTGTTTGATTGTTTACATTTGCACAAAGTACTTGAATTGCATTTAAAAGAAAGAAGCATCCCTCAGTCTCCCTTCATAGATTGAAGCTTTCCTAAAGCAGGCTGACTTGTTATTTTTGTCAGTATCTTTTCTTTTCGCATTTTGCACTATACTGTTACACAGTAAAGGAATATTTATTTCTAATTTATTTTTATTTAAAATAATAATAAATAATTTTTGTTTAATGAAAGAAATGTGTTGCAGATGCAATGTTCTGCAGTTGAACATTAATAAAAGTGCCTTTGTGACATTTGTCACCTGTGGTTTTGACCAAGAACATGGCTTATTGGTTTTAATTCACTGGAAGAAAAATATTGAGATATATATCGTATATTTCCATTCGGCCCAAAAATATCGAGATATGACTTTTTGTCCATATCGTGCAGCCCTAATTGTGCATATCGTATTTAATCCCATGAGACTGGAAATACTGTATATTCATGTACATTTACTGTATATATTAGACATATGAAATTATAGAATCGGCCAAGAATTATTATAAAGCCCTATTCATATAATAATCTAATAAATACAAATAATATGTATAGTAAAAACACATTATACAGATCTTTAGTTTGTCATTAATAAGACATTTGCAGAGGACAAAGTCCCACTTTCATAAACACAGGTTTTAAGTGGTTAGCCATGCTTCTAACTTGGTTATTATTCTGTTTCTCCTGCTGTGAAGCTCGTACATCTAAGATTAAATACAGTAAGAATTTCTGTATTTTATTTTTTACCAGTTTTTTTCAAAGCCCCAAATAAATAGTATTAATTGAATATGAAGTGTGAAAAAAATCCTAAATGTGCAGGCTGTCCGTTTTAATGTATGATGTTTGTGTTCTTCTTTTTCATAGACTTATGGTGAAATCAACGTAATCATTTCTCCAGCTTCACCTCCATCACCTCCTGCTTCAGTCACCTCCATCACCTTCCTGATTCAGTTATTATTATGTATCCATGAATGTTTCAGTTATTATTATGTATCCATGGATGGTTCAGTTATTATTATAGATCCATGGATGTTTCAGTTATTATTATAGATCCATTAGGCCGTCTGCTGAGGCAGAAATTGCTTTGTTTCGTTCCAAGCTCGGGGCACTAAAATCTGAGCGGATCATGTGATAGCTTGTCTAACATACAGAACATAACCAAAGGTTCTCCATTCGAATTCCAGCAGTTATTGTATAGTTTGAAATCTTATGCCGGACTATTTCTCGTGTAAGGAGACGAAAAAGGTAGTAAACCGTCACTGCTCAGCCAATAGGAGACGCGTATTATCGAGCAGTTCCGGGCAAATCACTACGCCACACGTAAACAAACATGGCGTGCGAGGTTACCTGTGGGTCGCCTCCCTTGCCGTCTGAGGTGAAAATGGACGCTTTGCCGCTTTTGAAGTGCATCATGCACACAGATCCAGCCACAGTAAACCCCTGTGAACAACTCACGGAAGTCAGGTGGGATACCTTCCGCCGATGCGCCCGTGAATGGGACAGGACGAGCTTAGAGAGTCGGGAGACCGATATAGTCCGTGAGTGCATTCCCTATCTTGATCAATCCTGGTCAGATATGCCCTCAAACTTCGGCTTTCACCCGACTTGCTACCGCCGTTTCATAGATAGGAAACGAATAAACAGTGCTCTGAAGCGTGCGGAAACCTCACAAACAATGAAGAGGCCAGCGTCTCAAGAAAATGTCAGTATGACGCCGAAAAGGACATGGAGGCTCCGATCAACAATCCCTCCCATTATGGCAACCTCGGAAAGAAATAAATCCTCACACGTGTTGCCCGTCATCTGCTTGATTTGCAGGAAGATTCATAAATACTTGACTCGTCAGGGCAAGAGGGTGCCAGACAAACTCGTCCAGACAGAAACGGAAAGTGCAGGTAAGCCTACTATGTTGATATAATATAGAAATATATTAACATATTGTACCAAATTTCGATGGATTCTGTTTGGTGTTCTTGTGATATACAAGGTTGGGAGGGGCCTACCTAACACGTGACAACTCTGCTTTAGTTTAACTTCCATTTTTTTGCCGCAATTATAGAAATACAGTAAATCAATCTGCTTTGGGCTCAGAGGTCACATACCTGCATCACTGTCTGCTCATATCCATCACGTCACAGGCTGAAGTTTGCTGGAGCTGAATTAAAATCCTTAATGGCCTTTCCTTTCACCGTCTTTGAGAAGGTTTTGAAGTCTGAAAATAGGTGCTCTGAATTTTTGATGAATGAATCCTTCACGTAATCACCGTTTACGTCGTTTTGCGCGTCATTGTTCCTCGTGCTGCAACAAAACTTTTCATTACAAACATGAAGCAGTCCTTCCTCATTGACTGAAAGAAAATGTTCATTCTCATTCTTAGTCCAGTCTTGTTATCGACTCTTTCTCGTTTTAGCTTTGGGATCCATGTGCACTTACAGTCTATGATGCACATCCCTTGACCGGTCTCAGTTGGGGTAACTGCAATCCGGGCCGCCTGGGGCGGGGGCCGTGCGTGGACCCGCCGCGTCACATTGGATTGAAAGACGCCACTAACGCTTGACTGAAACGTCTCTGAAATTTAAGATACTGTACTTAGACATTATTATAACAGCATTTAAAATTCGATAAAGATTGTATCTTTCCTCCCACGAGTCAACCATCAATTTCATTCTAGGAAATAATATATGCTATGCCCCTCTCCACATCCATTTTCAGGACATTTTGAAAAGGCTCCAGGAGCCACTACCAGGAGCTAGCAAGAGGCCGCATGCGGCTACACGAGCCGCGGGTTGCCGGACCACCTGATCCTAGATCCATTTGACGGCAGGTGGGGCATTCGGGCATTGTATCTGGGGGTTTTTTTTTTGGCCCTTAAATCATGTATCAAGGATTGAGTGTTTTTTTTTTTTTATTTGAGAGAGTGAAAGAGTTTTGATGAGAGGTGTACAAAAATGATGAGCTGGAAAGTACACGGTGATGAAGCCTGACAGGCTTCAAGACAATGATGGAGAAACAGTTGACGGCGGTGAAGATGTCACCTTTTGCGGTGGAAAGTGACAGCGGGGAGAGCACCTTTATTTTATTCTAAATCTGAAGTAACCATAGTGCATTCACGGCGAGGACGTTATGGGATAGAAAATTGTGCTTTGTATAAACCACGGATTTTTTTTCTCGGGGTCGTGCACCTCCGACTGCCGGTCAATGTGGCTGCGTCAGAGGGAGGCTGGATCGTGAGGGTGTGAGCCGGAAAAAGACAATGAGGAGTGGAGGGGAGGGAAGAGAAGATGGATAGGTAGAGGGGTGTCGGGGGGGAGCGAGGATCGAGCTGGAGACTGAGAAGTGTGAGGTTGTTGTATATTGGGGGACCTTGGTCTTGGCCTTGGCAGGGTAATGTTGTGTTCCGAGTGGCGAGAAGACAAGCAGGGAGGAGAAAAACATGCTGAGGAGGGACAATATTATATGCAATTGAGCGGTCAAAAGCAGGCAGATATCTTATTCAATCCAAGTTAAAAGCGATTGCGGCTCCTCAGGACCTCCGTACACAGAGGCAAATCCTTGGGGTTGAGATTCATTGCTGGCACGAGATGTTTATCAATCTTTCTCCAATGTTTTATTGCCCTTGTGTGAAGAGTTGCGGAGGTTATTATCTCAACTGTTACTAACACAACACTCTCACTTTTTGCCGACGGGGGCGGGCTTCAGCGTTTGAGCGTTTGCGGTCTGAATGACCATAAGCCATGTTTCCTGAACACATATAATATCAGGGTCTCTCTCCTTGTTCTGCACTATAACCTTTTAATTCTGTCTTAGCCATAAAATTCCTTGGTTATTGAATGATTCTCTAATACTTCTCACTCCCCACACCACCCACTCTCTTCTCCTCTCCAACCTTTTGTCCCCTGTTCCGGAACACTTCATACCGGGTTACTTTTCGCTCTTCACAATAGTCGAATTTGATATGTTTTTGCTTTGTGAGTCGCAAATTTATGACATATGCTGAAACCATCAAATTATCCACGACACCATATACCCTCAATCACACTCTTCGTCTTTCCTTAGCATCCCTCTGGTCTCCATTCGCTCTGGGTTTTGATTTTGAATTTCTCACTGTTTGATAATGAGTCAATATTCAAACTACACTTCTGAATCTCCCACGTTTTTTCCTACTTCCAAACTCTCCATAGGTGTAATCTGATGCCTCCACAGTTTCTACATTTAAACTCAAACACCCACCTTTACTTTTCCAGGAGTAGCTGCACTGTAAATAAGTAAAAGCGATAAGTTCCAATTTGACTCTCAACTCGCTCTCTCAATTCCATACAGCTCCACCTAAACAGTGTCTACGAGGTCCATTTGTTTGTCGTCTTATTCACGCTTTTCATGAATCCGCAGCTGGTGAACACATAATACAGACTATCGCCCACTAGAGGTGGCAGGTTAAGTCCGCTTTAGCTCTGCCAGACGACCTGAAACGTCAGGCAAGGGCGTAGGTTTGCGTCGGGGGACCATGGGACATCATTGTCCCCACAATATTTGGTTGAGGACTTAAAAGTCCACAAAATGACATGATGTTCGTGACCCGGACGAGAAACTTTTTCACGCCAGCCCTTATCGCCATTCGCCTTCTCGGA